GCTAACTGTGGAAAGGAAAGCTACCCATCACCCTGCCGTGTAGAAGAGCAGCAGGGTCCTGGTGTTCAAAGGTGTTGAGCAGCCTGCTGATGAGTCCTAGTCCAAGCTTTGTCACTTGCTCTTTACAGAAAAGAAGTTGGCTTGCTTTTAATGTGTATTAACACAGCAGTCAGTAGGCTACATAGAAATGGGAGTCCATCCTGTGGAAAAGTTGCACATGTGGAGTAAGAGAGTCTCTGCTCTGGGCAGCTTTACGAACAAAGAATGCAAGAACCAAGGAAGGGGGGAGCCATTTTGCAGAGAGGTAGAAAAAAGCAAATGTCTTGCCCCACCTGCTTCCTTGTGATTATTTAGGCTGAGAGGTACTTCATTCATTGTATGTGTAAGTTGAGGTCAAGGGAGAGTGGCCTCAACTATGAAGAATCAGGATATGATTTTCACATTTCTTTCTAAATATACCAGACCTCAGAAGCTAGTTCTTTTCCTGGTGTCATATTAAACCAGCTTTCTTTTGCTCCCTCAACAAAGACACTCCAAACAGCAGCTGTGAGAATTTGCCATGTAATTACAGTTACGTAATTAAAGCTGAGGTCAGAAGGCAGAGAAAAGTACGAGGTACAGCATGTGAGGCGCTAGTGGTTTTGTACTAGCAAAGTCTGGGAGTGTTCCTCCAGATCCAGGTAGGTGTGGATGCATGTTTGTTTTTAAAAACTCAGACCCTAAAATATAATGCAGATTTTTAAAGTGTGTGGGGTCACATTTTCAGAGCATCTCTGCTGCTACATGCATGAAGACCAGCGACAGTAGCTTTTTGCAGGCCAGCAATGGAACTTTCTCCTTCAAGATCAAATTATTTGCATCCTTCTCAACCCACATGCTTTAGAAGATTTGTTTATTCCTGTAACCTGGTGCTAACCGTGCTGATTCTCAAAAAATTGAACAAGCTGTCCAAGTGTCCTCTTTTTCCTCACACTCATTCCTGAGGATTTTCAACTGGACCAGAGATCACACGGAAGAACCATGATCATGACCTGGTATATCCAGTTCAGCAGCTAAAATACCCCATTTGGGATCACCTATAAGATCACTGTGGAGAGATTATGCTGTGCTGCCCTGTTAGAGTAAGGATAAGGTTTTCAGAGTTCAAGATTGTGTAAAACCACACAGCCCAGCTTTGAGCACTTACTGAACAAGGGTTGTTTGGGTGCAGAAGCCAAATGGGTGAGCAGTCTTTCCTTCCTGATTTGGAGTGGAGCAAGGAGTTAGGAACAGGGCTTTAAACTAGTAATACTGTGGAAGGGAGATTACAACCCAAATTTAAATGGAGAAACGGTGGACAAGGATGGAAAGAAAATGGTGCTGGGTGGCCAGAGCAAGAAAAGAATGGTGAAACAATGTGGAGGGGCTCACTTGCAGAGTGAGCAAATGCATCAAGTCTGGGAAATATGCAGGAGTCACTGGAACTCTGTGTGTGGTCATGCAACAATAATGTTGCTGGGACAACTGAGATGTGGAAGGACATCTCTTAATACCAGAATGCTCTGATGCATAGGTACAAGCTCTTCAGGGGGAACAGACAGTGAAGACAACATGGGTTGCCCTCTATGTGAAGGAGCCACTTGGATGTGAGGGCTTCTCTATGGGATGGATGAGAGCTGCTGGAGAGCTTGTGGATCAGATGCAGTGAAGAGACCAACGAGAGTGGTGCTGTGGTGGGAATGTATTATAGACCACCCAAACACAACGGATATGGGAATGGGGTCTTCTTAAAGCAACTGAGGGAACCCTCTATATCACAGATCCTGGTTGTCACAGGGGACTTGGACGTCCTTGATGTCTGCTGAAAAGGCAAAACAGTGTAATGCAAGCAGTCAGGAGGATTTTTAAAGGATGTGTGTAATAACTTCTTGATACAAGTACCGGACAGGCCAACCAGAGGTGGTGCACAGCTGGCTCTGCTCTTCACTAGTAAGGAAGAACTGGTTGGGAACATGATAATCAATGGCAGCCTAGGCTGTACTTATTATGAAATAGTGGCTTTCAGGACCATGAAGGGAGTGAGGAATGGACTTCAGGTGAACAGACTTCTAGTTTTTCGGGGAACTAGTAGCTGGGATCCCACTGGAGGAAGATCTGAAAGATAAAGCAGCACAAGAAAACTGTGAGGGCTTGAAGTACGGCAGCCTCCAAGTGCAGGAAAAGTCCCTTCTATTACTCAGTGAAATAATCAAACACATCAGGAGATAAGCATGGCTAAGCCGGGAACTCATGGTGGAGCTCCAGTTCAGAAGAGGAGGGGATGTGGGAAGCAGAGACAGGCTGCAAAAGGAAAATTTGGAAGCATTGCCTGGGTGCTAGGGTTGGTGTTAGGAATGTTAAAGCTCAGGAGTTGAGACTGCCAAGGGAGTCAAGAGCAACAGGAAGAGTTTCTACTACTACACAAACAGTAAAATGCTGAACAAGGAAAACATGGGCTTGCTGCTGAATGGGGAGGATGATTTAGTGATAGTGGTCAAAGATAAGGCCAAGACAGTGCATCCTTTGCCTCAGTTTTTGCCATCAAGGTCTCCTATGTCTCTGTGCTTAGAGACATGGTTCAAGGACAAGGAAAACAACCAGCAGTGGATGAGGATAGAGGGATTGATTGTGAGATCTGAACCTGCCTAAGTCCATGGGACCAGATAGGCATCACCAAGAGTCCTAAGGGTATCGTTGCAAGGCCATGGAGATGGGGTAAGAATCCTGACAAGTGCAGAAAGACAGATGTTGCACCCATTTTCAAAAAAGTCCAGAAGGACAATCCAGAGAACTACAGCCCTGTCATTCTGACTTTGGTCCCTGGGTAAATGAGGGAGCAAGTCCTTGGGAAACATTTCTGAACACTTGAGGGAGAAAGTGGGGACTGGAAACAGCATTTATCAAGGATAAATCATGTCTGACCAACATGATTGCCTTCTATAATAAAATGACAATATTTGCAGACAAGGGGAAAGCAGTAGATGTCATTTACATCAACTTTAGCAAGGCTTTTGACACAGTCGTCCACTTCCCGAGGTCCTTTCCAGCCTGAATTATCTTGTGATCCTATGAAACAAGAGCTTTCATTTCATGGGGATGGTCGAGTTTCAGATCATGCAGCCTGAGTGCACCCCAGTGTGTCAAGGTTCAGTTTGGCTGTAACAGGGAAGGATCAGACGAAAGCAGCCACAGGATTGTTTTAGACATCCCTCATCTCGATACCTGAAGTCAGTCTCCAGGGTGTTACAAAGCATCCATGTGCAAAGATTATTCTTTTACAGTGTTTCACAACATAAAATTTGTCTAATGAACAGATGAAAGAAACAGACTGTGTTTGACCTACATGACAACTTCAAGAGGTGTGTTTCTAATACATTTGATACGCTCTAATTATTTGGGCATTAGGAAAAAACTTGCAACAATACATGCTGTCAACGAGGCATATTTGTGAGAAGAGACTCCCTTATCATCTCCTTGACTTTGTGATCCAAAAAGGGTGAAAAGATGTGAGAGATCCTAATAGTTGAGCCAATATTCACCTGGAGAAGGGGGACTTGATCCAACAGCGTTTCCCAACACCACTGCCCCTCAACCCTCTCCTGATATGTGATGTTCACGTAACTATGCTGTGATAAGCAGAAATTTATCTGTTACTACAGCATCAAAATTTGTAATAATACGTAACTATTCATAGCTTTTCTTGGTACAAATCTTACCTTCTATGATAGGGGACTGTAGCCGTAGAAACTGGTCTGGTTAAAGCTTGTGGACTGGGCATAGGCAAGGGCATCCCTTTACTAATTCCAAATGGCTTTTGTTATGTATTACACAAAGCAAAATTATGTGAAGACTGGTTCAAGATGCCTTGTGTCTCCTCCCTATACACAAAGTCTCTCTTAAAATTGTATCTGTTTCTGTGGAGTCCTAGGTATATGTTCAGAGGGACATTCTGTTAGTTTTTTGGAAGCTCCTGTGTGACTCAGAGGCAAGAGTCCTGCTGACTTACAATAAGATGTACAAGTTACTTGGAGGCTTTCAGAAACTCTTGCCTATGGGCTTTGTGGTCCTTACTGTTGCATAGTCACCCTCCTTCCGCACAGTTAGGTCTGAGGTTTTAATCCTTGAAGTGGGATAATGAGGTTGTCTGAATAAATGCTCTTTTGTCCTATTCATGATGTAACTTGTGCGAGGCTTTAATTATGCAATGGTGAGGTGCACGTTCCATCAGCACATAGATATATTGTTTATTTCTACTGTCTGGAATGTGTACTTTAGTCATGATTTGTATGGAAAGGTAAACCTTAGTTCAGGAGATGATAATTAAACAGGTTCTGAGTTTTTCTGTGGTGTTCTTACTTTATTCTGTAAACCAGAACAGGTTTATTTTCTCTACCCTGCTGTGACATTAAGGAATAACGCTTTCTCCAGTTCACAGTGGAGAAACTGAGGCCGAATGAGATCAAGGTAAAGGGATGGTCCTATGAAAACAGAGCATGTAACAATATCTGTCTGGCCCACATTCCCAAGATTATAATCTGTCCCGTAGTTTTCAACACATGTTAAAAATGCTCTAGCGATACATTTGAATTTTGACTGTAGTATCTTGAGTTGCTTTTGGGGTAGAGAGAAGAGGAGGAGGAGGTGCAGGCAGGGAAGAGATGCATAACAGCGTGGAGGGTGGGTGATGTGGAAGAAGAAAGATGAGTTTTCTCTAGTCAGCAGCACTGAGACCTTCAAAAGCTCTCTGTGCACACAGCTTCATACAAAGAACTGTTGAAGGCTATCTGAGTTTACCAGAGCCTTTTTGTATCCCTCATGTAGGCTCTTTCAATACATGCAAACAGTAAAGCCCAGACAGAGATTTACTCCTGACATTGCTGAAATGCAAAACTATAGTAACAAAGAGTCAGTCCTCAAATAGGCTTTGAACAACTCTTGAGAAGCATCATACATGGTGTACAGAGCAGAGAAAATCAACTTACCTATTAGTGGGACTGAGTCAGAAGTTGCAGGCATGATCTCAGCCACAAGCAGCATGAATACAGTCAGGGAAAGCAGGACAGTGATACCTGCAGGGAGTGAACATGGAGGGGAAGGATGAGGAACATGAACTCTGCAGCTGCTCCTCTGATGTCTTTCTGTTAACTATAACCTTGTTCTGATCTACAACTAAGCCAAACCCATAACTTCATGTCTGTCAGTGCAGATGAGAACTTTTACAGAGCGAGAGCATTTTTGGATGCAACTTTATCTGCTGTCTTTTCACTTTTCTCAATTACACCCATACCCTTGCTCCTCTTAAAGTAATGGAGAAATCTTTCCTGACAAGTGAAATGAAGCTTGCAGAACTGGTAAACAACATTGCTTTACCAAAACATAATGCAAACAAAGCCCAGATGGTTATTAAGGGCTAGGAGAGACTTGCACAGACGTGAATCTAGGTTTTGGCTATTGCATGTTACATAACACCTTCCAAAGAACTGCAGCCTGTTTTAAAAGTAGCTCTTTGTTTATTCTATCTGGAAAGACTGTTGCTAAACCTGCAACTGCCCTGACGCTGAGAAATCAGTGCATGAATACTGTCTCCTATTTTTGTTTCAACACTCTACTTCAGCTCAAATAATTCTTTTCCCTCCCAGCTTTCATAGACAGCAATTGTACCCCCCCATAGCCTGTGTTTTACTTCTTTTAAGACAGGATGCTCAGATCCCTGATTGTTCTATTAACACTGAGGTCTCTGTCCTGATCGGAATTGTGCACAATTAACTCCTAGGGTCTCGCCTGGGCCAGTCTTGTATATTTCCAGCTCTCCCCTGTCTTTCTTGGAAGCACCCCTCCTCTTCATCATCACACACAACAGTAAATCTCATCTAGCCCTTCCTTGGCTGTCACTGCTTTGCATTCGTCGGGGAGTCATGGCTCGGTATTTTGAGAGCTGAACTTGGAAGGTGAAAATCCAATGCCCAGCTGCTGCTGCTCACAACCTTTCACTCTTTATGACTTAGTATGTCCTATCTGAAAAACAGAGTTAATAAGCTGTGAAATGCATTGAGACGTACTAAAGAAAAGAACAACAGGGACGACAGAGTACTATCACTGCTGCCTGTGCCAGCGACAAGTTCTGCCTCATCCCAGGGTAAAATCCAAAAGATTTTAGAAGTGTTTAGCACAGGATGTGTGAATGCCATACAGAAAGCTGTTACCATGGTTTCTGCAACCAAACAAGTGCTTCTATTGCTCCTCCAGGGAAATCTTTATTTATCAAGCACCATGAAGTATTTATTTTCCATTTTATAGGAAGTGCTTATGAAAGAATTAAATTCTTTAGCACTTACCTAAAGAAATCTTCTCCCCTGAATCAGCTGGCAAAAGGAAAACAAGCAGTGCCAAGCCAGATATGAGAACGCAGGGAATGAGTAGGTTCAAGCCATAGTAGAGGGTACGTCGGCGCATGGTGATGGTGTAGGTCACATCTGGGTATGGTTCTTTACAGCATTCATAGTACAACTCATTCCTCTTTCCTGGGACACCTATAGAGAGGGAGATCAGAGCAATGGGGAGAGGTGCAGGACTCCCAGGTAACCCCTTGGAATGGGCCAAGAACTGATGGTTTATGAGCCAATGTGTGGCATCTCTGCCACACATTGTGCATTGAAGAGTGCTTCAAAGTGTCCTGTGGCAATTTATAAGAGAGAGAAGACACCCCCAAACCAGTTACCAGGGAAAAGATATTTTCTAACACTTGTGGCCAATGATGCACGCATGGATGAATAGATTAAAGGGGACAAGGGACAACATGCCTTAATTCAATATTGTTTGAAAGCTGAAATACATCACTACAGGGTTAAATGAGCCAAGGTAACTCTCAGTGTGTCAGTGTCTTCAGTAATGTCTGAGGCAACAGTGCAAGATGTCTGCTCTTCTTAGTGCGCCTTCTGTGTTTTCTACAGTTTATCTTCATGCCTTCTGAATCATTAGAACCTGGTTTAGCCAAGAAAGCTCATCTGGGCCAGATCAAAACAGTTCTGAGCATCCCAACCTCAACAACGAAAGGTTTGCAAGCAATGGCCGAAGATTAACTAGTAAAACGTGCATTCTGCCTTCCTGCATCCAGGGAATAGTGACAAACAGCTGATGTCATGTTCACTAGCAGATTTTCTGTGTGACAAGTGCCACCGGTTCTTATTTTTCTGTCATTCTCTTACACATATTTGCTTTGTTTTGTCAGGAAAAACAAACAGGAGATGGCTTACTTTTCAAAAGAGGTGTCAAGTTAAGCTTAAAGTCTGTCATATCTGAAGGTTAAGAGACATTGTTGTCCAATATAGCTGTACAGCAGGGTTGGCCATGGTGACCTAGCTGCAGTAAACTGGCTGAGATGCTGCATGGCAGGGACTGCAGCAACACAGGAAATGCCAGCGGAGCTGGAAGAACTCAGCACCTAGTATCTTTCATGCCATCATAGCTCACCTCTTTTTTGTTTCTGTGCACATGACAGAAGATGTATCAATGTGTACATTTTGGCAGGAGTGTGGCAAAGTCTCCGTAAAGGATATGGCCATGGTTTGCCTGAGGTATTACTTAATGCTTTTGCTGTATGAGCTAGATAAGGGACTGTTTTGTCCACCCCTAGTCAGGGTTGAAGGCAGATAAACCACAGGCCAGCCTCTTAATCAAGATATGTAAAGTTATTGGACAGAAATAACTCTGTTATATAGAGAAGCACTGGAAAGTCAGGAGTGCTCTGAAATGAGGAAAACTTCCTCTGATTTTAGGAGGACTTCCCTACAGAGTCCTTCAGCTTCTCATGAAACTGAATACCGATTATGTTTCTTATTGTATTATTTCTCAGATGCCCTGAATGGTAAAACTGCTGCATGCAGTTGGCCAGTGACAGTTATTTCCTTTTCTACATATCCAGACTAGAAGATGAAATGTCCATTCTGCAAGCTCTCCTTACGGTGGTCTAGCTCTATCAATTTCGATAGCATTGCTTCTGACTTACACCTACATAAATGGGTTCAAAATAACTTACTAGTAGCTCACTCCGAATAAGTAGTTCTGGGCATAGATTCCTCTTTTGAAAACACAGTTATCTTCCAAAGCACAGAAGGGAAGAGAGACATACTGAACTGCAGTTATTTGCAGTTATTATGAACTGGTAGACAACACTTTGGTGGTTTTTTGGGTAAGAGAGATTCATCTCTCTAAAAGCTCATTCCAGTTTTGCTGAAATAGTGTTTTTTACACCAATCAATTTTTGGTTGACGTGTTAGAGTAGATGTGACAGTAGTGTTCCTACATGAGACACATCCAAGTTTAGTACTGACAAACTGCTCAGATGCATCAGGACCAGTAGGTTTCATTTACGTACTCAGTTGCAGGCAATTGCTTCAGAACACAGCGTTTTCAGACACAGTTCAATGAATGCAGCTGAAAGGTTTCTCTGATCTGTGATTTTTTTCTTTTTTTTTGCTGCCTCTTACATAGAAACTTTTATTATCTCTCTTTCATGTCCCAGTGGGATTGAAAATTTTTAGGCCAGCCGATTTACCCACTAAATCCCATTCTCCATTTGAGATGTAGTTGGAAATATCAGCCTCAAGCATCTGCAGGTCAATCAACCAGCCACTGTGAGTCCAGGAGCCAAACTTCAAATCACACTTCTGCACATCAAAGGGGAACCAGCGGACATCAATGTAACATGTGCTCTTCAAAATGCCTGTGGATAGAAACCAGTCAGAATCAAGCGTGTGCAGGGTGCAGTTCATCCCTACCCTTATCTGTCCGAAGCATCTTTCTTCTCCAAAAGTCTGTGTAATGTAGTCACGGGGTAACCAACCAAGCAGCGCAGGTGGAAGATGCCATGAGTGGAATAACCTCCTTTCCTGGGGCACCAGGGAAGATCCCTCTCTCTTTCACTGCATCCTTGAGGTAGGTTGCCCAGGGCACTCTGGCCACCCAGGAGCACCCCAGCCTGTCTCCTAGTGCTGGCTGGCGCTGGCAGATAACAGGCAGTGCTGCAGGGCCTGACAGGAGCGTAGAGTAGAATGTCCACGCACTATGGCTGGAAGTACTGTGACAAGCTTGTTGAAAGGAGTTCCTGGTCAGGCCCTGCATTAGATGCACAGTCCTCTGAAAATAATTGTTATGCTAAACCTTGCTCGGTGCTGGCCTTTATCTTCTGTATGTCAACCTGGGCCTTGAATTTTACTCTGGATGTGTTTAGTCCATTATCATTATTTCATGTGGCATTTTAAGCAGTTTAGGAGATTAATACTTGTATATTGCATTTTAATTATTTATTTTCTTTGTTATTCAGCTGAAAGAGGAAAAAAAAAACTAATGGATGCTCCAGATTTTCTTCCTGGGGCCACAGCTGTGTCTGTGGGACTTCCACAGCTGTCCAGCAGCACGGAGGGCTTGGAGAGTGGGGAAGATGATCTACACAGCCTGCATCACTGGCAGCTGGTGGCAAAGCACAGAGGTCGTCCCTGCAAACTCTCACCCCTGTGCGCCTGTGGCTTTGCAGCCTTCACCTTACCTCTCCAGTTTACTGCGTGCTGGCCAGTTCAGAGACACTGTGTGAAATAGAGGCAGCTTCTGCTTCATTGGAAAATTATCTCCAACACTGCACTTAGCCTACCTGTTTCCAGTAATTGTTTCTGTGTGCTCCCTAAAACACCAGCTAATGTGAATCCCAGCTCTGAGTCAGTTAACTGAGCAGAGTTTAATGTTTTGCAGTAAGTGCTTGAGCCATGCCTTTTGAAGATAAAATCCTCAAAACGGTGGCCCTTGAATTATGTCTTTGTCTGCTGCTGCAAAGCCTGAGGGCATTGTGGCATAACCACATGTGCAAGACCATGTCCCTGCACAAACACTACTGCTCTGGGGTGGCTGGGTTCCCTTCATTTATCCCTTTACGTTCTGGGAGGTCTGACTCCCACCATCATGGCCATTTTTGGATGGGGTACATGGAGGTTTTTCTCCCAGTTTTTCCTGAATCTTGGCTCTGCTCCTTTCCTTAACAGCAGAAAGCTGTCCCCTCCTTCTTCTTTCCCTCTACTCCTCCACCTATCTTGTTTCTCTAATGGAGAACAGCAGTGAGTACAGCCTGCTCTCAGAGTCATTGGAAATAAAACTTTCATGAAGCTTTGGAAACACCATCCTTTCCACTCTTCTATGTTTTCCAGTGTCTTGATTAATCTAGCTGCCTCTGTGAGCCCTTGTTGCCAGTTAGTAGGCTGATGATCAACTTCTTCCTTCTAAAATTTTGCAAAGTAGTTTGGCAGCAGTTAAATCCCTGTAACAAAGGATTTCCTGTGCTTTACACAGCAGATTTCTGTTATTACTTTTTCTCTCTTTACTCTTTCCTTGGGTTCTTAAGTAACCAATTCTTCACCATGGAGTTTGTAGCTCACCAAGAGATGAGCAGGACACGAGATCTGCCCATATAGGCACCCTTTGCATCACCTCCCTAACTGGAGGAATGGAGAAGGCTCTGCTCTGGTACATGCCAATTTTATTTCTGTCTCTTGTTGCTCCCTAGAAAGCAACCTTACCCATGGGTCTGTACGAATGAAACCACAGGGATGCTTTAAGGAGTCTGAGGGGTAGGGATCAACAGAGAACCGGACATCAGGGAAGACCCACTTGTTCCTTAGTGGGCCCTGTGGACATGTTTGGGGCCAGTCTGCCAGCAGCTATGACACAAACACAAAGTTTGGGCATTTCTTGTCCACCACAGTAAGTGACTGTGAAGGTAGCTTTTGTATTTGCTGGTAGGTCCTGGCTGCTGGGCCCTACAGGCACTGAATCGGTAATACAGTTGGAAAGCAGGCTGAAACCAGTCTCAGTTTGTCTTTTCACCTGGAGTTGTAGCCTCAGCCTGGCAGGAAGAACTTCTCTGCAGAGGTGGTGCTGCTCTTGGGGTTTCCTGTGGTCACATGCCTCTCCACTTTTAAGAAAGAGCTAATTGGATTGCACATGAAACGTGATGTGAGGGTGCACACCATCTTGCTTTAGGTGACAGCTCAGCTGGGCCTCTGAATGTTCTAAGCAAACTGCTCAGGTGAGTGATTTATTGATTTGTGAAGTGGAAATACACCATTAATAATGGACCTAAATTATTTCAGTGGGTTTGTCCCATAATTATACAGCTTGCAAAATTTCCCCAGATTGCTTCTAAACACCTTGGTTTCACTCACGAAGGAAAACTTCTTGTAGTTATTCAAAGCTACACATTGACTTAAAGCAAATAAATGCTCTCTGTGTCCTACCTGGAGGAATATATTGGCAGGATCCAGAGTAATTCACCAGCACATTTGTGTGAAATGTTGCATCAAATCTTTCATCCGCACTATAACACAATATAAACAAAACAAAACAAAAAAAAACAAAGAAAAAGCAAGCTGATCTAGTTAAGATGTAGTAACTCTGAACATAAAAATAATCTTTTGGCTGAATTTAATGCACAGAATGTCTGAATTAAGATCCTATGGCTGGATGAAGAGTTCACCCTTAATCAGTATCTTGGCTTCTCATAGATACTGTTGGCCTGCAGCCAGGCATGATGGTTGCATGCTGCAATGTCCTCAAAGAAGTGAGAAGCAGAGCTGTTGGATGTCTCAAAGCAAAGGCAGAAGTGAAAGGAGCAAAAGTGTCACAGTGGCTGTACCCAAAGACTGGACAATCGAGAGGATGAGGATTTTCTGGGGCTGCTGTCACAATCATGCAGCTTACAGCGTAAATCAAGTTATCTGTTACCCAGATATCCATTGTAAGAGTTGCCCGAGGCAACAATTCTGCAGTCTTTTAGGATGCAGAGGGGCCAAGGGTTTGCTTCAAGCAATGGAGGAAAGCACTGGGGAGAAGTTGTTTTAGATTTGGGGCTTGTAGGAGGAGATAGACTCTAAGAGCAGAAACCAGGTGAAAAGGACCAAGAAAAGAGAATTTCTTTAGGATTCCAGCAATTCTGAGAAAAATAAGGGAGTAATGAGCCAGGCAAGGACAAAAATTCTTCAAGGGACCAGGACTGGGGGCTTTCTCCAGAAGATCTCATGGGAAGAGATTAACTATGGAGAGCTCCCCTGGCTGATGTTGTAGAGTCTTGCCTGTCATGGCTATGTGCAGGTCTGTGTTGCATGACTACACCATCTTACACACCTTGTCTCACAACCAGATGTGGAAAATTCAGACCCTCCGTCCCTCCTGTGACCTGCTCTTTATTCATGTCTGAGTCCCCAGTCCTCAGTAGTGTCCCCAGCACAAAATAAAGGGCATAAAAATGAAAAGGCTAAATGCAGAATGACTGATAACTATCAAAAGACATAAAAGGCAGCAAGAAAGGTTTTCATAAATGCAAAGAAACAAGGAAAAGACAAAGGACCAGATAGATCCATTACTTGCTGTGGAAGGAAAGGAAACAACAGGGTGAGGAGAGCTGCAGTACCCTGCAGTCTCTGTGCTTCAGAAACTGTGGCTCACCACAGTTAATTCTTGCACAGTGGCAGGAGTCCAGGGCAGAACAGGGAAGGAACAGAATAAGGAAGCGTAGATAAGACAGATCCCAGTTGGCAGGGCTGATGAAATTTATGCTTGAGAAGTGAAGGGGCTGGCCTAAATACGCACTGAAGCATTAACAATTATCTGTGAGAGCTCATGGAGAACAGGGAAGGGCTCAGTGAATTAGGGAAGATCAAAGAGAATTTTGATTTTTTTTTTTAAAGGTGAAATTATAGACACATCAGCCTAACTTCAAAGATAATGTGGTGAAAACTGTTGGCACAGATTTGTCAAGGGCCAACTGCATCTAATCAATCTAATTTTCTTACTGACTAACTGAGTAAGAGGAGGCAGGTGATGTATTTGAACTTCAGAAAGCCTTTGTTACATCATGTTCTTATAAACAAACTACAGTAATATGGACCAGGCTATATGCCTCCTTTTTAGAGACTGAAAAAGAATAAAGAGACTGTGAGGAGTAAAGCTGAAGTAACGAAGAACACTTAAACAATCCAGGTAACTCCAAGTCTCCTTCGGATATCTTGTGAGAGCCTGGAATGGAAAATAGGTCTTGGTGAACTGAGGAAACCAACAGAATGAAATTCAGTCTGGATTATTAGAAAATATTACCCTTAAAACTGTCAGAGAAAGACAGGTCAGTGAAAATCTTGTAAGACAGCAAGGCTGAAGTACAACATCTGGGGCTTGTGATAGATCAAAAAATAAGTCCAAAACTAAGATATTAGAGCAAAACCAAAATCCTCTCCTGCTGGAAAGCATTAAGGAAACATCTCTCCAGAGAGCTTCCACTCCATTCAACACTGCAGAAGTGCTGGCTAGAGAGCTGGTTTTAGCTTTGGAGGAGGAAAAACAGAGTAGAGAGTGTTCAGAGGGGAAGAGGAATGATGGAGAGATTTATAAAATGAGAGTGATGAGGAAAGTGAGAAGAAAATCTGTTTTTTAGTTCAGGCAGGAACACTATGGCAGAGACATGATAATAATTTTCCAGGAGAACCATGTTAATCATAAGGAGTATATGGATTTTTTTCTCTCCACGTACACTGGGAAAACATAAAGAAGACATCTGCAGAACTACAGCAAGGAAGACTTAGTTTGGCTACTAGAAAAATCTATTGGTTGGCACTTGTTTGCTTTTATTGTTACTGTTTCAAGAATAAGAGCCAAATCCCCAGATGGCAAAAGCCCCAGAATATCAGTGAAGCATGGCTGATTTCCAGCACCTAATGCTCTAGTTCTAGGCTCCCACCGGCCATTGCGCATCTTGCTTACCTGTTATACAGAAGAATGTCTGGTACCCAAACCTGGTCGGCTGGAAATCGCAAGTTCTGCACCCCTGGGTATTCATACTGATCCCAAGACAAGTAAACATCAACCCAGTACTGTTGGCAAATACATACATCAGATTATATGAGTCGGTGAAAGTCTTCTAAATTGTCTGCAATATTATGGGAACAGAATGGATTTTGCCAGTAACAATAGCAGTAGTATGATAATAGTTTAATGCTCAGCTTTAATTATTAAGAAAGGTTGGCATATATGCTGAGGAATCCAGTGTGACAACTGAATGTTGTGAGCTGTATTTTAATTTATTGTCTAACCCCTCCACCTTGTGGCCTGAAGCCAGGCATCCCAAACATTTTCTTGTGGGCTGGCACAAACACCGGCAGTAGGCACCTCCATAAGGTGCGCTGGTTCTGAGCTGAGGTGGTTTGAATGACTTGAGTATCGTCAGTGGTATGTGGACCATACCATGGTCTGAGAGTCCCCCTTTGGTGGAAATAGTTTAATCTGTTACAAAGGTTGGGTGACTCTTTTAATAACCACCTTGCTATGAAAGGTAGGCAAGTGAACTTTATATCCCAAGGGGTTGTTTCTGATTCCCCCTCCTCCACCCCAACACAAACAGTTAATTCAAGAAAGGTGAAGGCACAGCTTTCGTGCTGAACCTGGTGACTTACAGCAAAGCTCTACGGGACGGCTGCAAGGAAAACAGTTATCAGTGCTATAACTGAAGAACACCTCTGCAAGGGACAGGATGCCCATAGGCTCTGTCCTAACAATCTTGTAGTCCTATTGGTCTGGATTAGTTTTTGCAATAGAAAACAACTCATTTCTGCTGCAAATCCCAGCAGGTAGCTGAGGAAGAAATAGACTGTTCAGTTGCACCCATTAACATGAGATAGTGTTTGGCTGCAAAAGTCAAAGCAGAATTAGTTCAATCATTCAAGTCTTTCACAGGCTTTTCCCTTCAGAGCTGCATCTTTACTGAGCGCAAGCCATTAAGGAGATTGGTTTACATGCCATAAGAAAAGACCGTATCTCTTGCCATATGCGGCCAGCAGCACACCTGACAGGAAACTCCCTCCCCCAAAGCCCTCAATGAAGATCAGTTTTGCTTATCCTGCATGACCGGTGCAGGTCGTTCCTCAGCTGGAGCAGGTTGCAGAAGCGGGAGGCAGAACATTTATGGATGAGGTTTGTAAAGCACAAAGGAAGGCAATATTCCCACTGATGTACCTGGGCACTGCCAGCAGCAATGCAGCATGGGGCTCCTTGCCATCCCTGGTCATGCTACCACCCAGCTCAAGCAGTATCCACATGGTCCAGCATGGCTGAATTGCTTTTGTGTTTGGGGGCAAGTGCTGGGCATCATCGTACCCTGCCCTCCACAGGGGCACCCCTGGCTCCCCGTTTCAGACAGAGGTGCGGATTTGCCCAGATGTCATGAGTGCGGGTGCCCGGGTCTTACTGGGTGTCTGGTTCTTCATAAGTTCCCGTCACTGGCCTTTGAAAGGGCCTTGAGACCCTTGAAGAGTGTTTCCTACTGCTACAGTGTGACCATAACTTTGGGTTCTTTGTTACTGGGTCCCTATATCCACTGGCCTAACAACGTAGTTAGTTTCACCCTCCAAAGGCCAACAGGTCTGCCCAAAGGATTAATGTAGTCTCCTGCATTTCATTTTAAAGGCTAAAAGGAGCACTAGAGAAATTTCAAAGGACACAAAATGCCTGCTTGTTTCACATTATAGACAAGTTAAAAGACAGCAGTCTTGCTTTTCGGCCAAGAAATCACATTCAGTAGTTTGCTATTATAAAGGGTTTTTTTTCTTTATTCACGTTACTCACCATCTGCAGCCAAGCATTTGTGATCAACACCTGATTCTTCTCATCCTTTGAACAAAAGAGGGAAGGAAATAGAAGACAAGAGAAAAAGGGATGAGACTCAAAGTACAGTTTGTTTACAGGTGTTACAGTTTCTGTTTCTTTTAGAAAACCCAGACTCTTGGGGTAAATAAACACAAACTTTATGGAGTGCATTGTGAGCTCAGTGCAAAACCACTGAATTGCATTATATGGCCCAGACAATAATGGCCCTTTTCTATCTTTTAAACATACAGAACTCCTGAATTTATCATAACTGATCAACAACAGAAGTGAAAATAATAGATAATTGCTCTTATTTTGCTGGGAACAATCAGACTGTTTACCAAAAGCACAAGTTTTTTCTTCCAGCTAGTTGGTCAAAACAAGATGATTTCCAGTATCACACAGCATGCAATAGTTGGAGAGATTTTATGTTGCATTTGCTGCCACTGCAAAGTAATGGTGAAACGGTGCTGGAAGTGCTGTTCCTTTGGAGTGTCGGCATTATGTAGCTTAGCTCAGGCTGAAAGGGAAGGAAGGGCTGGCCTTGGGCAAAAACTAGCACATGGCAAAAGGGCACAAATGCTGCCTGAGAAGGAGCTATCACAGTGCCTGCACAGAGCAGGAGTCTGTAGGTTCACACACATGCATGCAGAGGCCACAGGGAAGCAGATCTGACTCAATAGAAGCAAAGAAGCCCTTGCCCAGCTGGTCTCCAAGTGCTTTGGGAAGCTGCAGGATGCCCAGCTTGTTGCAGTTAGCCTGCAGGTGCAGGACCCTGCAGTGCTACTGCCAGAGCAGGGATCAAGAAGCAGGGCTGCAGAGTTACTGTGGTGCAGATGATGCCCAGATCCACACCCCTGCCTGGCACAGCTCCAAATACCACCACAGGTGTGCCCTGCACTTCCAGGAGTTGAGGCTGAGGTACTCAGTGGGGCTGGCTCACTGTATGCCCAGCTGCCTCCACACCACGGGAAGGTGTTTCTTCCCCCTCAGAGCATCACCTGTGTTCAACCCTTACCTCTCCAGAGAGCACTCCAGCTTTGACTGAAGTGTGCCCTGAAGCTTGGTTTTTATGCTGTAGCTGGGGGCAGGCCTGTCCAATTATCCTGGTTTCAGCTTGGATAATTTTCTGCCTGGTAGCTGGTATAGTGCTGTGTTTTGGATTTAGTATGAGAATAATGTTGATAACACACTGATGTTTTAGTTGTTGCTAAGTGGTGTTTAATAGTCAAGGACTTTTCATCTTCCCATGCTCTGCCAGGTGTATAAAAAGCTGGGAGGGAGCATAGTCAAGACAGCTGACTCAACTGACCAACGGGGTATTCCGTATCATATGACGTCATGCTCAGTACATAAACTGGGGTTTAGTGGGGGAGGGATGATTGCTGCTTGCGGACAGGCTGGGCATTGGTTGGCGGGTAGTGAGCAATTGCATTGTGCATCACTCATTTTCTATATTCTGTTCATCATCATCATCATTATTATTATTATTATTGTTGTTGTTGTTATTATTATTTCCCCTTTCTTTTCTGTTCTATTAAACTGTCTTATCTCAGTCCATGAATTTTACTTTTTTTTTCCTCCGATATTCTCCCCCATCCCACTGGGTGGGGCAGAGGAGTGAGTGAGTGGCTGTGTGGTGTTTGGCTGCCTGCTGGGGTAAACCACAGCAGTCCTTTTTTGGCACCCAATGTGGGGCTCGAAGGGTTGAGATAACGACAGATCTGACCAAAGCGTGTTCAAGCAAATTTTGTTATAGGTATTCATTAGATTGGTTTAAGAGTTGCAGGTCACAATGTTGATTTATTGGCTCTCAAAGTTGTTGGGCTGGCTCTCAGAGTTGGGTTATGTAATACCTTACCTGCAGTATATATTCCCTGTTGTGCTGTTTATCACCACTCAGAGCTGGGTCAAGGTTATCATTTTGCTGCACTGTGTAACACTGTTTTATGATATGATGAAATTATTGGTCGTGAATCTAATCTGGTATTCGTACTTAGCATTGCCATCATCTCCGAATCTCGGGAGCCACCTCTCGGAAACTATTAAAAATTACACTCTTTACCTTTTCTCCTCACAGAACCAATTTATGGGGGAGACAGGTGCCACCAATGACTCCTCAAGTGTCTTCTAGAGATGGTGAGCATGATGTTTGTATGAGTTGCTCATTAAAGCCTAGCAATATTTTGTGTTGCTAGCCAATGAATAATTGCTTTATACTTGTAGGCTGCACATGTCTTCATTACAAAGTCTTTCTGCATACTGCTAAAGAAGCCTGAACACCATGACTGAAACGATGGGCTGCAACAGTTAGGCAATTCCTCTTCTGTGCAAAATGAAGGATTTTCCCCATCTACATTACACCCTATACGGAAGGGGAGGAGGGGACCCTCCTCTTTTTGTTGGCTACCTGAGAGCAGAGGGATGCATTACAGTGCAGTGTAGATTTGGGAGGCCTATGGGTTTCCTGTATGTGGAGATGCCTCCTGTCAGGAGCCTTTCATGTGTGGCTCTGGATTTACAAGGAAACTCCCTTTTACCTGACATAGTAAGTTTATACTTGACAGACTCCATGTCTGCAAAGGAAAACATGTAGAGCTGACTTCTGTATTTGACAAAAGATTCTGTTGCCTTACCTGCTCCCCTGTCAAACCTCTGCGAGCTCCTTGTTCAAAGTCACATGCTAATGACCTTGGGAATCAGCTTTGACTCCAAGTAATTCATCAGCCATATATTTCAGGTAGCATTAAATTTATTATCTTGGGTACACTTTGCCTCCTTTTCACAAGGCTACTGTGCTCACCATGTTTGTCCTGCTTCTCAGATTTGGTTTGCAGTCACAGGAAAGCTTGTCTATTAGAGATCTCACAGGTTTATCTACAGCGTAACCACACCCTGGTCAGCAAGAGCACAAAGTCTAACCAGGACTTTGGGCTACTTACATCTCTCTCAGCCTTGGGGGAAAAAAAGTCACTTCAGGACAGTTTCATGGCCATTCAGAGTCCATTCTCATCCTTGCCTTCAGGCTGCTGAGCTTTCAAAGGGTGTTTGGATTTATGGACAGCAAAACACAGAAAATGTTATTCCATATTCAGCACTGATAAACAGATGCAGCCTGACAGATCCTTCTTATCACAGGATGGAACAGAAAGTTTTCCAAACAAGGATCTGAGTTTGCCAGAAGTATTGCTCCTGGTCTGCAGGAGCAGCAAAGCTGACTTTACACTGGGCAGGCACTTGTCCAGGTGTAGCTCTCTTGCTAAGCCCCTTCTAAAGGAGGATCCCGAGGAGTCTAGCCAGGGGAAGACTTCATGCTGGGCCTGCCCAGGAGGTGAGGGCTGTGGGAGTCTAGAGTCTGAATCCATCCGCTGTTAGAACAAGAGGCTTTTAAGGACAGAGGTGTATATGGAACTTTCCATCTTTGCAGGTGTGTTGGTTTACTAAGCCATGTAGCTTTGCATCCTGTAAGGAAATAGTTTGGCCTTTGGAGTGCTCTGGTTGCCCTGCCTTTCCAGAGCTGTGGAGAAATCACAGCTCCTGCTGTCTTCATCATGACCTGTGGACTGTGTGCATCTCTAAGATACCTGGGCACTGGAGGGATGATATTTGTCTGTTACAAATATACTTAAGACAACCATGAGAGCGTGTGTGCCTTACTCTGTCCCAAGAGGTCACTGGCCGGTACTGCTTTGCCTAAGTAAAAGCTAATTCTTGAATTCGGGAAGTGCTGGAGGCACTTCCCTCACTGTGTGCCATTGGTTTGTGCAGATTTAAGGTTCGTTGTGAGGATGCCTTTCCTCCCAGGAGAAAACCTGAATAATCCATCACGCTGCTTTTCCTGTGCAAGGTTTCTGTCTCACTTGGCACTCTCAGCCTTGGGGATGACCTTCCGTCTGTGTTTGGCAGGCTCTCAGCTCCCAGCTCTCCCTCCAGCAAAGTAACTAAAGCAGCCCTGCTAAGATCCCAGGTGAGGCTGGAGATGACTAGGCCCCAGAGATGCTTTTCCAGCACTCCTCTGGCAGTTCCCTGTGGCTGCAAATGTTCAGCTCAGACAAATCAGTTTGCTTCTGGTATTCAAAAATGCTGGAAAAGCTAATGCTGTGGACAGTAGCTAGTGCAACAGTTGTCCTCTAAATCCTTCCTGTCTTCATCTGGGTCACTTTCTCCCCTTTCTAACTCCAGCCTGACCCCAGTTAATCCTTTGCCCTGGATATCTGCTTATTGGTACAGCCGCCTTTGACCTATGGAGAGTGACAGTTAGTTTCGTTTGTTCCGGCGCCCATGCTGCGATGTGAATATTTTAGTTTCTTCTTTTTTAGGTCTTCTTTTCCCTGCTCTCAATCCAAAGCTTACAATGTATGTAGGTCTGCCTGCCTTTTGCACCACCAGATGTTTGCACCAGGCCAACATCTAGATAAAATGTAACTGCCCTCAGCCACATAATTACCTGGTTCATAGCACATAGACAAAAAACCCAAAGCCCTTCCTGGTTCAGTAGCAACGTCATATGGTAACATATCATGTCTGTAGCAAGGCATTTGTTAACAGGTGACTGACAGGTATCATTGATCCTTGCCCTTTCACAGAGCCACAGAACTGGGAGTTGAATCAGCCATTGATTAATTGCAAGGCACCAATCAGAAAAGCCCCAAATTGAGCACGTAACTCTCAGAGGTCACCAAAGGCCACAGGTGGCTACTTTGGTTTTTTTTTAACACTGTTTTTGTGGCTGAACACAACGAGGGATATGGTCAAGAGACATGGAAGCTTTGACATGGAGACTTGGAAAGTTTTGTTAGCAGAGGCATTGATCTCCGCACAGGCTTTTGATCAAGAGCATCAAAAGGAATTGATGAGGCTTTCAAATGCTTGTACACTCAGTCTACAACTGCAATAGGCAGTTCTTTCCATTGCTGAAACACCCATCTGCCACAACCTTCAGCTGATTAACTAAAACTCAGCTTAAATGCATTGTATGGTTGAAGTCCTCACAAAACCAGACAGTTTGAGGAAAACCCAGGTTG